GAAGAAACTGGGCAGTTCTGAAATTTCACATTTTTGACCCCAAACCCTTTAATACCCAAACCAGCTCATTTGTAAAATATCTTCGGACATCTGTGGACATAATTAGCATTTTTTTGAGTTCTTAGACTTAGAGAGAACAAGGTAGAAGCTAGGGTTTTGCACACACACTTGGGTCTTGAAGATCTGAAGCTTGTGGTTAAGGATTTCTTACCCATTTATGTTTATTTCTTCATTTCCTAGCTTTGTATTGAATATTTAAGAGTGTAGTATTTACTTCCAACACTTGAATCTTGTTTGTGGAAATACTCATATTTAAAGTGTGCATTAAATACCTTTATGTGCCTATGTATTGAATGATTTTTATCTTTTTATAAAGCGAGTTATTGTTTCTTTAATTATTCTTGTTTTTTAATGTTTCCAAAGGGATTAGCTAACCCTAGGACTCGTCTATTAACTCTGAATTAATTTTGTGAAAGATAATTTGGGGTTGGGAAAGATTAATTAACAAGAACTTGAGGCGTTAACCCTCATTTTATAGATTCTACATTGGAATAGCATTGAACTACTTGTAGCCACTCCGGGTGTGCTTAATCTCTTAATTGTTTTAGGGATAATTCAATTAGGAAGTCTTGTTAGTCTTCGGAAGAAGCTAATTAAGAATTATTATCCGTGGCTAATTAACATAAACTCGTTCATATTTGTAAAATCGTGAAATCCATTGTATCGTTACTTGAGTGTAATTCCCGATGCAACCATACTTGTAGCCATTGATCATTTTACTTGCTTTATAGGTTAATTTACATTTCCACATTTAGATATAAATACTTTTTAAACTTAGTGTTTGGCATTGTGCGATAAGTGATAATTTTCTTACATTCCTAATCGCCTATATATTGTTCTCTGTGGGATTCGATCCTGACTCTTAGTTGGATAAATTATATTGCATGTGACTGTGTTCATTTACTTTTTAGAAGTGGATTTGGACGCCATCAACAAGCCTTGCCGAAGACTAACCGAAAAGGAGAAGTGCCAATAAGAGTTTTGTACGTCGTGCGGTATGCCCAAAATGCATCATCTAGCTTCCTTGACCAATCGGTCTTGTTCGCATTAACAGTCTTTGGTAGAATGTTCTTTATCTCCCGATTGGAAAATTCAACTTGGCCACTTGACTGGGGATGATAAGGTGTGGCCACCTTATGCTTAATGCCATATTTCTCTAGTAGCCCCGTGAAAGCTTTGTTATAAAAATGAGACCCAACATCACTAAGAATGGCTCTAGGAGTGCCAAACCGCGTGAATATATTTTTCTTTAAGAATGTGGTCACACTCCTTGCCTCGTTGTTTGGTAAGGCAATTGCTTCAACCCATTTGGACACATAGTCCACAGACACCAAGATATATTTCATCCCACAAGAGCTCACAAAGGGACCCATAAAATCAATTCCCTACACATCGAAGATCTTTATCTCCATCACAAAGTGCATTGGCATTTCATGCCTCTTGGAGACTGATCCTTGCGTTTGACATCAGTCACAAACCTTGACCATTTGATTGGCATCATGATAAATTAACGGCCAAAATAACCACATTCAAGCACCTTAGCTGTCGTTCGATTTCCCCCATGGTGACCCTCAATCGGTGAGTCATGGCATGTCTTTAGAATTGGCATAATATCCTCTTATGGAACACACCTTCGGATAATGTTATCAGCACAAACACGGAACAAGAATGGTTCTTCCCAATAGTATTGCCGACAATCTCTCAAAAACTTCTTCTTTTGATAGGATTCCAATCCATCCGGAATAAGGTCACTAACCAAGTAGTTAGCAATATCGGCATACCAAGGAGCAAAAGTGCTAGATAATGCCAATATGTGTTCGTCCGGGAAAGCATCGTAGATATCAAGATCTTCCTTTGGTCTCCCTGTCTCTTCAAGACTTGATAAATGATCTGCTACTTGATTTTCTGTTCCCTTGCGATCCTTGACCTTGAAGTCAAATTCTTGCAACAACAAGACCCATCAAATAAACCTAAGCTTTGCATCCTTCTTTGCCATGACATAGCGAAGAGCAACATGGTCTGTGTACACTATCACCTTGGATCCCAACCGGAATTTTTCAAAGGCATAGACAATGGCAAGAAGTTCTTGCTCAGTCACCGTGTAATTCATTTACGCTCCATTGAGTATCTTGCTTGCATAATAGACGGGGTGAACACTACTAGAAATACATGGATTTCCCATGGCAAAATCAGTGGGAAAACGGTGGGAAAATCGAGTTTTCACACCGCATTCCCACCAAAACGAGTCACCCGGAAAACGCCTGGTGGGAAATATCTTCCAGAGAAGCGGTAGGAAATTTCCCACGGTTTTCCCAAAGATCCTTTACTAGGAAAAATAATGAAATTTCCCACCAACAATCAGTGGGAACTATTATTAGTAATTTTTATTGATTTTGATACATTAGCCATGGAAGTGATGGGAAAAATGCACTGGGAGCCGAAAATAAAGTATGAACTTTCCCGCAGATTACCGGGGGAAATATGCAAGTTCTGAAAAATAAAGTATGAACACTCCCACCGATATCCGTGCGAATGTGTTAATTCTAAAAATAAAAGTATGAACTTTCCCACCGATATTAGTGGGATAAATGCAAATTATGAAAAAAGTATGAACTTTCCCACCGATATTAGTGGGAAATATGCAAGTCCTGCAACTAAAGTGACGAACCTCCCCACGGAATCAGTGGCAATTCCGTGGGAAATCTAAAAATTATTTTTTTGCACAATAGTATAAATATACTGCACCACCTGTCAATCAAAAATTACAACCACCAACAACCTAAATACAATTAAACATTCACATACAAAAATCAGCATCTTCCGATCCATTTCGTTAATTAACAACCAACCAAAACTGAAATACTAGAAACCAATAATGCAACATAATATTCAAATAAGAAATTCAACATTCAATCTTATCCAATTGATACATAACATCCAACATCATAGTCCTACCCAAAACACATTAATAAAAGAAACTACTCCTTAGTCTTGCTAGAGCGTGACGGAGAACGTGGCACAGGAAATTCACCAGATGCTAAGAGGTAGTTTAGCTGGGCCTTGAGGCTTTCAACGTCACCAGTGACACGTGTAAATGCAGCATCCTTTCGCCTTATTTGTTCATCCCTCCACCTCTCATCTTCCTCCCTCCGCCTATCTTCTTCCTCCCTTCGCTTTGCCTCCTCCTCCCGCGCAGTCCTTTCCTATGCATACAACTCAGTAATCTCGGCTATTCTTCTATTCAATAGCTCAACCTCATCCTGGTTAATCGAGGACCTTGAGGAAGAAGAGCCACCAGATCTAAAAGACCGACTACTAGAATTAAACTCTGATCCAAGGCCGTAAACTCTTCCCTTATGTACGCCACCAGCCGCCTTAATCCACAAGTCCAAATAATTCTCCTGGGATGGTTGGATTGGCTTTCCTTGATCATCAGTTGGTTGGCTTTGAATGAACTCCTCCAAGGATTGTTTGAAAGTATTCTACAAAAAAGTTAAAACTATTATATGAATAAATTTAATTAATGAAAAGTATTAAAAAGAAACTTAAAATCTTATATAGGTTGTCTTGGCCCGTGGCTCGATCCAAGTTGTCTTTGTTCCATTCTTTAGCTTCTTCATATGTGTATGCTCAAATACCTCATCTTGAGTAGCTGGTCTTTTAAAGACTTTTCCTGTTAAATAAAACATGAAAAAAGCAAAATTAAAGTGCTATGTCCATAAAACTTCAAAAAAATTGGTTAACCGTGTAATTAGTTACTAACAACAACAGTAGTTTCATGTTTGTGTAGTCAACAATGCATGCATAATACAACCAGTAGGAAATATTTTCATTTAGAAGATATCAAAAGGAGTTAATCCAAAGATCAGCTAGTAACAATTTTCCTAAACATTAGTAACAAAGATCCAAAGATCAGCTAGTATCAATTCATTCTATATCTCATTTTATGTGAACAATTCTCCAAAATAACTCTAAAGATGCTTAACTCTTAATTATTTTATTTTGGAGGTCAAAGTTAATTTAGATGTTTGACTATGAGGAAGCTGACTGAAATCCAAATCTAGGCATAAACTAATAACTTTTCAATTCAAAGCTGCTTTGGCAGTAGTTTTAAAAGTGACTTAACAATTTTCTGGGAAAGTGAGGAGGGTGCAGTTCTGAGGGAACATTTGGGCCATATAAAACAAACGAAAAAGCAAATAAAAATCTAAAGGAAAAGGAAAAAGAGTTTAAAATAAGTGAAATATCAACAAGCATGTGATCATCAGACATGAAGACAGAAATAGAAGTACCAATCCTTCATTTGGTTTTACACAGGACCCATATTATTAGGCCTCAAACTATTAAGCACAAAACAGTTACGGTAAGTATTAACTCTTCATAAAAAAACAATATAGTATTACGATCGAGAGTTTGACCCTTTTGAAGCGCCAGTCGCGTAGGGCGACCGGGCCAAGCCGAGTCAGAAAGACTGATGATTCAAAGTTCATATTAGGGAAATGAGAGTGAGGGGAAAAGGGGGCAGCCCTCGGCCCGATCATCCAATTCACTCCACCAGACAGGCATGGTTCTGTAGTCAAACTATGCAACGGAAAGACATCTAACTCTTCTCTAATGAAAACCAAAAGAGGAAGAAATAACAAAGCACAAGCCACAGTAGCAGTTCCAACATAAGCAGCATGTGAAAATGCAACTGCTTTCTCAACCAATGTCAAGAAAAGATAAGCTACACAAATTACAAAAAAGCGTACGTTAATGTACTGTGAATATAAAAGCAAGATGAGTTATCGAATTAGAATTGTACTGTGAATATATCAAGCTATCTCCTCCTCAATTTCAAACTAATTCTTACCTCGTTAAGAGATTAAATGAAATGAGAATACTTATAGGACTAAGAATTAACTGTTACGGTTTAAAATGGCAAATTTTATAAAAAAAAAAAAAAAATAAGGTCGTGAATTTATTAGATTATATTGGCCCTATATACAATGACAAGAATTATGATAGTTAAAATTAAACAGAAGCAAAATTGGAAATATGATTTATACAGTGACAAGAAATATGATTTAATTTAAACAATCTTCTTCGATGAGCCCCAATACTTATTGAACCTCCTGTGTGCATAGAGCCACCTTTGTCGGACAAACAGGCTGCCTTTGCCAATTCACTTTTCTTTCCAAATTCCTTAGAGGCCCAATACTCAGTTAGTTTGATCCATATATCTTCGGTAATCCAACCTGGCATCTCTTTCTTATTTCGAGCTTCTCGAAGCATATCACTCAACCTATCAGCACATTTATTAAAAAAGACGCCTCGTACCTCTACCTCACGTTCAACTGGCCAAGCACACTTCATCTGCAAATAATTAATTTGTTAGATTGGTCAAGTATGAGTTGAAAAATGAAATAATTTATTTTACCCTAAATTCATCAAACATCCTGCCCCTAATGTTCCATGGAACATCTGACCAAAACCTCCAAGGTCCATGATAAAATGAACACATTGATTCAACAACAGCTTTTGTAGCTTGAGTACAAAGATGAAACCTGCATTAAATTAAACATGTTAGAAACCAGATTTATAATTAATTAGAAAATAAACAAATAATACTTACCCAGCTTTATCGGGAACGATAATCAACCTCCCGAGATCATCTAACCTTCCAACATTTCGAGGATCCTGAGCATGTATAGGAGGCTGTGTAACTGAATCACTATCAATGCATGGGGACGTCGGAAGGCTATCTACTCCAATATTTGGAGGATCCTGAGCATGTATAGATTCAAATGAATGCATGTAAGGATGCTTTGGAGGCCGACTAGAAGATCTGGGCATGCTAGCGAACGACTGTAAATCCATCCTATCAATGCATGCTAGGGGACGACTATAAATCCATCATGGCCTTCAAGTTATCTTCAAGTTAACATTTTCCAATTGCAATAACTTTATACACTTGCATATCACACAAGGACACCTAATAGTTCCTTCGTTACGAAATTCAGGAAGCATTTTTGCATGAGCAATAAATCCTTTAACACCTTCAACAAATTCTTCCTTTAATCCACAACGATTAGGATGATTCCTATCGTGCATCCATCTACGATGTTCATGTTCTATCTAGTACACAAATACACACAAACAAATGAATAGACTTAGAACGATTTATTTGTGTCAAGTTAGTTTACAATTAATCTTGAATAGTATACCTTAAATAACTCACTTATTTACAATCAATTATGAATAGTATACCTTAAAGAACTAAATTTTATTCGTCTTTTTATAAGTCAAGAAAAGACTATGGTTATATATCAAGTTACTATGAATGAAAATTACTTTTTCATAGAAATGTTCCTATTAAGTTCTTGCAATCAGTTTAAAAAGTCAAACCAAGATTCTAACACAGTGGTTATCATCCATAAATAAATTTAAACTTGGAAGATAAATATAATATTCACAATAAAGGATTTTTTATCAAGGTAAAAGCAATATAAATTCATGTAGTTGTTCTAGTAATTTAACAACTTAACTTACATTTAACAACTGAAACCAACTTAGAGATTAGCAAATGAAGTTACCTCAAGACTTATAACCTGATTTTGTCTTCTTTCACACTTTTGTATCTTCACTTCTTGATCACTTAAAAAGGCCAGAAACTTGTAAGCATATATTCTATGAAAACTGTTTGGAGAAATGGCTATTAATGCACAAAGATAGAAAAATAACTTTTCCACGTACAAACTTAATTAAAGCAGCAGAATTCCATTGATGTCATTATCAGAATTTCTTGTTTAGAGTTATATAAGAAAGCTAGCAAACAATTAGTTGATCCAACAAGTGTTTTACTTATTCTTTGAAGAAAAATTATTTGGAACATGCAATGACACTGCTTAGACATTAACCTCCAAAGGAAAGCACATGTGTGATGTGACCATGATTATTGCAGCTAACATGTCTACTTTATATTCTCCTGTTTTGATGTCAGAAAATTGCATATTTTTATAGTCAATTGATATAACAGGCTAAGTGTTATTAGTAAGCAAAGTATGGGCAGCAGAGGGCCATCACCAATGGTTCCTTCAATAATTGTTGGGTTTCTTAGTCTGCTCAATTTTTTGCCAACAACTTCTAGCATAGGTGGAGGTGCTAACATTCTTCTTCCTACATTGTTATTTCATATCTTCTTGAAACTTGTCGTATACTTGCTGTCAATATTCAATCTAGAAGAGACAGAGCTTGAAAAATTCCCAAACACCAGAGAAAGCCTCCATGGAGAAACCAGTCCAAGAAAGAGGACAGCCACCAAAAAACAATGTATTTGATTACAAAACTTACTGCAGAAATAATTAAATTGGAGGATAGGCTGCTTTGAGCAGTTAGTTCACATTTTCCTTGGAACTTACAAGTACAAGAAATAAATACTACTTAGTATTTGATTACAAAACTTACTGCAGAAATAATTAAATTCCCCTATATACACAAAGGTTTTATTTTGAAAAAAGACTTCCTTTTATTCAAAAGTTAAAGTTAAACTTACAAAATGCAGATTAGTAGAAACTTTATTACTATGAGCGTTTCAATCATGCTTAAACAGATAACGTATGAATGATGAGGAAATTGTTACAATAATCCTTTTTAAACCTATCTATTTCAATGTAATATTCTAATTCCAAACATAACAACATCCACAAAACCAACCACCAAGAGAAATTCAAGGTAAGTGTTGTCCCAATAATACCCAAATGAAATTGAAATGCAAAGCAAAAGTGGAGTGGAATAAAGGCCAAAACTACAACTCCAGATAGCTCAGCTACATCTTCTGGTTGCCCAAGAAATTTCAAGACTGGCGTTGCGAAGAGAAATAAAGGCATCATTATAATACAACATAAGAAGAGTACAAGAACGTTGCAAATAGACTCCTAACATGTAATATTAAGAGCTAAATCAAGAACCCTAGTTTCAGAAAACAAGTATGAGAAATGACCAACTTAAACTAGAACCCTAGGTTTTGTAAAATCAGAAAAGGTAGAAATTAAAGAAAGGGGGAGTGGATAAGAGAGATAGAGAGGGGG